ACTGTATTCTTTACTTTCTCCGTCTTTATATGTAGATTAGAAGATATTACTTATCTCCGTCATGTGTTTCCATAGCAACAACAACTTCCTGTCAACAGCGTAAACTCGCCTTCAAAATAAAAGCATCTAAATAAAACAGGAAGTTAAATTACATTTAAGACATACAACTGAAACAAAAACAATGTAATATCCTTTTCAGTTTCACAGAACACAAATTGGGTTATTTACATAATATGTTTACATGATTTTTTTGTGCAATAAATGCAATCTCGATGTCATCGTTCTATAATAGGATGGCTACACGACGGCATTGCGAGGGCTTCACGTAGTCGTGTTGCCTTCCTAAGACAATCGGGCAGCTTCTTGTTTCCTTCGTATTGTCTTCGTGAGGCGAAAAATGCCCGATGGCACCGATGATCACACGAAGATGACACGATTTGACAAGATGCCCTCACGAGTGCCTTACGAAGGGCAAAAAGGACACAAATTCAACACGAAAATCAACCTTTGCAAGGCTTCGGCAATTTTTTGGCATGCCAAAGATTTTGCCACCGCTCACGATGTTGCTGCCGGAGCCTGAGATACTCCACCGGCGGTCATACGATGGCTTAAGATGCCCTCACGAATGGCCCGATGTTGTTGTGATCTGAGCCGAATTTGAACATTTCCTTTATCGCGTGTCCATCTGGTGTCAATTTCGGGACAGTGTGAATGGGGCTTTAACATTGGCACAAAAATACAGAACAAATATTGAAATATAACAAATAATGACTAATAGTTAACTCAGTATCATATCTTAAATCATAGTGCACTGTATCTTATTCTCTTTTGATGTCTATTTTAGTCATCAGATGATATAGAACCTAGGTATTGAAATATATTTTTGGCTTTAACCTGGTTTCTTTTCCCCTAGCCATGACAACTTTAACTAAACAAGTGTAACTCTAACCCTCCTGATCATTGTCTGCTTGCGCTGTAGTTGCCGTCATCGTCTTGTCTCAATCATGGGATAAAAAGGTTGTTGATGACATAGTCATAGTTCAGGTTACGAAATGAACACTGACCAGCAGAAGAGGTGACCCTTGCCACAATCCACAGCTGGGGAGGGCAGCAGGGGGAAACTGTGAGGGTCGCTGTCCCCGGGGCCCGGTCGGGTGAGACGCACCGCCCGTTCACAACGAGCCGCAGGACACCATCGGATGGCAGGATTGTTCTCCACAAATGCCTGCAACAGGGACAGAGGAGAGGGGAGAGAGATTAGAGAAAGGATGAGGAAGCAGAACACAAGACCGACAGGAGGGAAAGCACAGAGCAGAAGTGATTGGGAAATGCCCAAACAGGCCAAAATAAACTAAATATTAAGGGACAAAAATATACACAAAATGTTACTGTGTTGGAGAAACATCCCTTCAGCTGTGGAGAGCCTTAACAAAGCATGGACTTCAATATCTGTATGAGGGTTTTTCTTTTACCTTAATGTCAAACTGTAGATATCTCTGGTCCATCTCTCTGGAAACGACACTCTCTATCACATGCACCGGCACCAACTGGTAGCACTCGTATGCCGGGCAGAAGATATTGTGAGCGTCGCCCTCCTGAATCTTCACGTTGAGGAACCTGATAAGCACACAAACAGGAAAATGAGTTCAAACAAATCCTCAAAAACATTGCAGAACGCAGGAACATTTACACACAAACACAGGTCCCTACCCTTCCCAGCATGCTCTGCAGAACTCGTGTCCACAGGACATGTCCACTGGGTCCTCAAACACAGAGATGGAGCAGAGGCAGATTCCACACTGCAGGGAGAGAAGATAAACACACCATATTCAAATGTTGTCTGACACTTAATGATATCACAATGATAGCTTAAAAAACAACTATGTATATTCTATTAACTTTAATACTTTGCTGTGATGTCTTTGTAACCATTAAAAGCAATACAACACACCTGCATTAAATCCCTCCTTTGTTTGGATTGGATTTAAGTCTGACATGCTGATTCTGATTTTCGTTCTTTATAAGAACTTTAATTGACAGCAAAAACAAACATTTGGATATATTTTCTTTAATTGGAGTCTTCTTTAAGTTTGTTCATCAAAATATAAAAAAGACCAATTAATTCACTTAAATATCATCCAAATAGGAGTTTTGAACTAGTTTTAAAAACGTTACTGACAGGGTGGTTCGTCCACAGCTTATTTTGGGCTTTCAGGGGTTAAACTTATTATTCCAACAACAAAATATGATTTATTTCATCACTGTGTGTCTCACCGAAGCCAGGCCCTCCTCTCCCGGTGAAAGGCAGCTGTCGGTCGGGGAGGTGAGGGTGAGTGTGAGGGGGGAGCGTGGGGTCCTGGGGGTGCGAGGCGAGGGTAGGGTGTCCCAGGCGTTGTACCCGCTGGGTGGGGGTGTGGGCATGGTCACACCTGAGCGCTGGCAGCAGCCCTCAGCGTCAGACATCCAGGCCTCCAGAAGCTTCTCTCTGTCCCAGTCTGAGAGAGAGGTTGAACACACATTGAGCGGCAGGGACTGTGGATGTTATTCTCTTTAAATAGTGCAATGACAACGAGAGCTGAGAGGGTTTGTGAAGGTCTCGTGAATGTCAACTTCCACACACCATGTGCACGGAGCAGGGCCTCAGCAGTGAAGAGCGGGGCTTGAAGCATGTCTGCCGTCTCTACGATCAGCATGTCCTTCAGCCTGCGCAGGTCCTGCAGCTTCAGTCCCTCATACGGCTGAAATGAAAGGGAGATGCAAAGAGAAATGGAAGAAGAAAGAAGAATGATAGAAAGGAGAGAAAGCAAAGGGGAGAAACAGAAAATGGGGACGAGAAAGAAAGAAAAAGGTGAAAAGTATGAGATTGAGATGTGTTCGAAGAAGTAGAAAAAAGATAATGAGAGGGAAATGAAAAGGACAGGGATATGGTTGTGGTGGTGGGGAGAAAAACAGATTAAGTATTAGCATAGATTTGGCTGCAGGAAGGAAGATCAAACTGCTATCAGCTGGCAGCTGGCAGGCTCGGCTGGTGCCCTCCGTTACACTCACATCCCGAGGAACAAGAAGTGAGGAGAGTGTATGTGTGTGTGTGTGTGTGTGTGTGCGTGCGTGCGTGCGTGCGTGTGTGTTTACTGGTGCTACTACACTGAACATGTCATATTTATTCGTCTATATCACATCATAATGCCTTCTGTGAAACTCAAAGTGAAAACCATAACAATGATCATACATGCTACATTAGGGGAACACACAGACTGATGCTGCAACTGTGAAAAAACACTGAGTTGAAGAAGATGCACATCCTTAGAAGGAATCTAAATATCTTTTTTAAAAGTCTAGCCATCAGGAAACCCCCAGATCTTGTCTCACCTCCTTGAATTGAAGCAGGTTGGTTTCACCGTCTGTGTTTGACGGCTGAGCTGAAGAGGAGGAGAAAACCATCTGCGACTCCAGGCTGAGGGCCAGCTCGGTGTGGTGATGCCGCTCCGCGTGGTCACACGGCGTCAACTTGTCCTCATCCTCCACAAAAAGGTCTGCCTCGCTCTGGATTAAGAGCTACAGGGAGGGAAGAGGGGGGAGAACAAAAGGAATGGGAGAAAAGGGAGAACGTTTATAACGGAGAGGAACAAGAAATTGCAACAAAAGAGAACAAAGACAGCGAGAGGCAATCGAACAAAGAGAAGAAAGGAGGAAGGGGATGGGAGAAAGTTGTGATGGGAGAGAAACAAAAAGAGAGAAAGGTGAGTAGACAGTGACAAGTGAAAGCAGAAGGGGAAATATAAGAAAAGCTAAATTGAAGTTAAGTCAAATGGAGAAAGTTTGAGGCACAGGCAGAGGGGTTATGAGCGAGTGAACAAAAGACGAAAAGAAGAGAGAAATGTGTTCAAACTTTTTATCTTAAAAGGATAATATCTGGGTTACAGTTCCGTAGGCCGCCCATATCAGAGTTCATTTTCTTTCAATTCAGGTTTGGATTTTTACAATACAAAAGCTGTAGAATCTTGAGAAACGGGAGGAAGCAGAGCTCGGATCTGACAGTAACGAAACACAGAGCAGATGTTCCTGTAGCAAGAACGGGCATATGGCTGCCTAGAGACTCTGTTGACTGTAAAATCAAATCCAATCACACAGCACTTAGAAGAGATTTACCGAACACAAAACAAAGCTCCTCCTCATGCTAGCTCCAGGATGGAGGTCCACACACTCTCTCTCTCTCACCTCCACACAGCTCTTCATGCCTGCCGCGGCGGCGTAGTGCAAACATGTGCTGTGGTGATTATCGCTGGAGTTGACTTTGGCCTTCTCGTACTGGCCTCCGTCGAGCCGGGCGCCGGTCCAGCTCAGGATCATCTGCCAACGGGGGAACCCAGAAATTCAGAGACACAACATTTGGATGATACTTTTTTCCACTTCAACATCTAAGTTGCCTTTCTGTTAGGGATGTTAAGATTCACAGATTCACAGGTGCACCGGCATAAACGCTCAAGATCGGCTACAGTTTGGGTTGAACTCGCGATGCATCGATTGTAGAGTCTTTGCATCGGTAAAAAAACTATTCATCATTCATATAATATCCCCTCATCCTATCAGCACTCAGCAGAGACGACCTTTGATCTTTGCTTCGCACTACGGAGGCCGGGAGTCTCAGTTATCAACACACATGGAAGTCGAAGAGAAAGAGAAACACAGCGCACCGAAAAATACCTACAAATCAAACGTTTGGCTACACTTCGGATTTTTCAAGAAAGACGGTCAACTTGAAAAATCCCTCGCAAATTGTTAACGATGCCGAGCCGCTTTAAAGTACACAAGTAGCACGAGGAACTTAGCGACGCACATAAAGAGGCGACATGGGGTCTGCGGCTGAAAAGAGAAACCTGAAAGTTAGACATATGAATTCAATCACTCAGTGAGGTGTTCTGTCAGAGAGAGTGGTGTTTAGTTTACAGCAGCCTGTGACTGCCAATAATAGTTTAAATGTCTTCCTTACTGTAAGCAGTTATGATAGAGCTGTTTGTGAAAGGTTATTTGTATTCTTTATTGTTCATATAGAAACCACTGCTTTCTGCTCACTGGTGAGTTAGCCTATGAGTGTTAAGCACATCAGGCTGGCAGCTGTATGGGCGTTTCACTATGGTAGCTGTTATTTGCACATTGTTAATCATGAGCAATGCATCCTTACATTGTTTAACTGTGAGGTGTTATACAATGTACTTTACTCTGGAGAGTTTTTTTAACGTAAAAAAGGTAAAAAAGAAACAGCATGATGGGATGCGTAGTACTAGTAGAGAGAACCAAATATGTAAAGCACTTTTTTGTTAATGTATGATTTGCTGCATATAAGGAATAAAACAAAAATCCTCTGTCGAACCATATTGAAGTACCATTATTTTGCATCGTGTTGAATTGTATCGTATTGCCCCGAATCGTCGAGATTTGTTATCTTTCTGACTTGTGTCTGCATTTTACGTTTATATGTATACCTCATCCCTAACGTAAGAGGTAAGTACTTCGCGACTGACGCGTACCGTAGCTAATGCAACGGTTGCTATGCTATGTAATTCGCTATGTAAACATTTGGGGTTCGCTGACGCTATTGCTAAGACAACCGTATAAGCTATTGAAACTAAGTTTGTAATAGCTATGCCCCGTATGTACGGTNTCGTATCGAACTGTATCGCAACAGGGGTGAATCGCATCGTATCGCATCGCCTGGTGTTTCAAATGTATTGTTAATGTATCGTATCGTAGGCAAAGTATCGAGATGCGCATGGCATCGGCCTCAGTGATGGAGATCTCTACTGTCTGTACCTGCAGGCAGTCGGCGCGGCGCTGCTCGTCCCGCTGCGGTCGGGCCAGTCGCGGCGACAGCGCCCCCTCTGGCAGCAGCAGGATCTGCGGGCCTTGGCAAAGCACGTGGAGGCACGTCTCGTTGTGCACGTTACACTTGTTGGGGTTCCCCTCTTTACTGAACAGGAAAGACCTATACAATGCAAACAAGAAAGAAGGGATGACAACATTGAGGACAGCTTTTTAAGCAAAAAAAGGTCTTCTGTGCGGCACTGATTTCCCCAACTTAAACATTTCCGGACTCTCGACACCTTTATCATCACAATTCAACTAGAAATGCAATAGCAAAACAGTTTACATAATTATTTTCTACTGACAGCAATCATTGTATATTGTCACTGTTTGTTTTACCTATTATTATTGCATGTATTGATTGTGATTTGAATGTGCTAAGCTAGCTGTAGTTCTCAACTGATGTGATAAAACAACAAATATCATTACGGGACTGTTTCCTTTCAAATATTTGAATAGTCTTTTGCTTTACATGAGTGATTGTTCAGGTGCTACATTCTGAACATAAGCTGGTATGTTTAAAATACCTTAAAACGTAACGGAAAATGACATACACCTTATGCCGCACTATGTATCAATATGTGGAGTAGCATGGTTGCTTAGAAAAGAAAACATATTTACTTCCTGTTGGAGGTTTAACTTGTAATGTGTACATTATTTGCCCAGAGTGTCTAACTGTTATGATGTTTGAGTTCAGCTCTAAAGAGAAGCACACTTAAGAGAGAGGCAGAAGTGGAGGAAGGAGTAGATGGAGACATGAAGATGATGTTTGGAAGGGAGATGGATTGTGAGATGAGCGGTAAAGAGAGGAGGGAGAAGAAAGGTGGCAGAATATCGACTAAACCTGCAACATCTCTGAGATAATGGACATCACACACACACACACACACACACACACACACACACACACACACACACACACACACACACACACACACACACACACACCCCCTTTTCAGGGTTCTTTCCTGTCCTATAGTTGTTTTTGCCTCCTCTCCAATGTTCTTTTCCATCTTCTCCTTGAAATAATTGTTCTACATCATGTTAACCTGTAGAGAGAAGGAGCCCTGCATATTTGTATCAGAGTTATAACAACAACATTTGACAAGACCTTGTCACTAATGATAGTTCAATTAGTAAAGGATGTCATAAGATTTCTAATAGTTTAATACATGATTTGTTGTGAAACCTCTCCCTCTCTGCTCCCACTATTGAATAAGCGTTTCAATGTTTCCTTATTGTGAAACCTTCCAGCCTGCTCTTCCACTTCTGACCTTCTTATCCCGTCAGCCCTGAGCCCCCTAAAGCCTCCCCCTAATGACAGTGCACTGCCGATTCACGCACAGAGCAATAATCACTAATTATTCCCCTCAACTACAACCCATTGCCCCCTACGCTACACAAACACATAAAGCCTCATGGTCACGATGGATGGCCTTAATATCAGTATACTAAAAACAGCAGGCTCGAGGACGTCACAGGTTGAGCTGCAACTAAAGCTGTTCACTGTGTACGGTAACTTGACGAGGGCAGGAAAAGGGGAAGTGATAAATATTACAATTGAGACTGAAATACAGCTTTTTTTTCCAGAATGTGACTAAAAAAGGAACGAAATTAGCACACAAACATATACAAACAAAAGGTGCTGCTGACAAATGCATATAGTTTATGTCTCGGCTTTCTGAAAACAACAGGAAATCAATTGTACCCAATTAAGTCACTGTTTTTATTTACATATTTCTCAGACGGTGTGGAGGAAGGGTGACATTTCCTGAACTACACCCTTTTTCTTTCCTTCTAGTAATAACTCTAATTGTGATTTCCCAAACAGATATTGTTAAAATAATCTAAAAAACACACCACCAGCCCACGCTTGTCCTCTCTGAGTCTCTATTTTGTCTGAGATTTCTCGATGGTCTATCTTCTTGCCTCGGTCCATTCAAGCTGTTGGAACAAAGAAGCGTTTCCTCTGATTCTTATCATGAGCAGAGCGCTGCGTTCAGCACGCCTCTCAGGCCCATTATAGGTTAATAGGAAAGGACACAAATAGCACACCAATTGATTCACTGTGATGTATTCATAGAGTCGGACACATTAAGCAGTTTTGGAGCCACAGTTCCCCC